ATGAGAGAGAGAGAGAGAGAGAGAGAGAGAATGGGAGAAAGAGAGAGAGAATGGGAGAGAGAGAGAGAGAGAGAGTGAGAGTGAGAGAGAGAGAGAGAGAGAGAGAAGGGAGAAAGAAAGAAACAATGGTTCAAGTTAATGAATCTTTGCAAGAATAATATTAGGCTAAAACAGAGGCATGTTGTGAATTTTCAATATACCCCTTCACGGTTGAGGCCGCCATTTTAATTTGCGAATAAACATTGTGTCATCAATGTTTGCAGATGCGCATGTATTATTGCATCAGTGCCTGCGATGCGCGCTCGTATCATACCACATGCGCTTTGCATGCTGCATAAAATAAAATTTACACGATATGAGAACCATTTTAAATTGCGAGTATTTAAAATGGCGCCCATGTCGGCGCATGCGCACTCTTGTTACCATGAAAGGGTGTATTTAAATCATTCTACTCCTTCCATACACTTCTAAGTGGAATCCTAAGCCACTCTTAATAACACATACATTATAAATCATTCATGATATGCGAAAACCTAAAAATAGAAGAAAAAAATTATTCCTCTCCATTTCAATTCCACTTCTACATGTAAATTTACCAGTACCGGTAATGCTTGAAAGCTCTAGTTAAAATAAGGAAGGTGTTTTCCCCCAAATAGCTAAAGGTAGTGTTACTATCTTAATCAAACAACAAATTAAAAGAATAATGTGTTTCATATGACATAGAGGATTAGATCCTGCAATAATATACAAATGTGTGACATTGAGCTAAATATAGATGATTTATACTATGTACTACATATAAATTCTAAAGCATAATGACATTTCATTCTCGTGTGTTGAATAAATTGATTGTTGAATTTTCATTGTTACCGGCATTAGAAAATATTTGAAAATACTGGGCGCTAAAACTTACAAAAGATAAGGTTGTCTTCTCCTTTTCAAGAGCATGTATTTACCGGGTAGACATTAAAAATAATGGTTTCTAGGTAGTTACTCAGAGGCTACTTAGCATCAGAAGGTCAGATTACACATAAGTGGTGAGAGATATTTAGTTATCTAAAGCTCTGAAATAACTTCTGAAATATAAAAAATAGCTCTAGAAAAAAACCCACATATATAATGTATAGAATGGAGGCGCGATAGCTCAGTCGGTAGAGCAGTGGTCTCGTAATCCGGTGACCCGGGTTCGAAACCAAGGCGAAGCGCTAGTGCCCTTTGGTAAGGCATTAATCCTCATTACCAGGTCCCTCGGAGAGGACCAAAAGCCGTCGGCCGTCTGGTTGCTTACTAACAAGCATTTATGCTTTCTTTGCAGTCAGGTAAAATAACCACCACCACATAATGTTAATGAAAGTAAACATTATTTAATAGAGCAAATCCAGAAGATCCCACCAATAAAGAAGACATTTTTATCTTGTAAAAGAGCAAAAATGGGTAAGTGACATTAGACAGATATCCATTTAAAGAAGGAAAATGTTGTTACAAGTCAGAACATTTTCTACAGAACAGGCAGTTCATGATAATTAATGAAAACTCAAAACTCTGTCATTTAAAAATGTCAGACTTCAAAGTACAAATGGAAAGAAGTTTGTTAACATGTATATCCATACATAGTCAGGAATTAGAACTTTATTATGAACATCAATACCTGTTATACCCAGTCTAAAATTTGTAAAGGTTTACTGTCAGTAGATAGACAGTTTGTTGCATTCTATGACCTTAAGTAAATAGTGATGGTCGCTTTTCAATTAATAAACCTCTTGATATGTGTACAAACATGAGTCATTGAACTATCAACTACCTGGTCAATGACCCTACTGTCTAAAGAGCAGACATACAAGACCATTTAGATAGGCAAACCAAATCCAAAGTTTTGCTCAATTTTGGGATGATTAGCAGGTGGACAAAATATGACCCAGCTGATAAAAACAGCTGGGTGTTAAAGCAGAAACACCAGTGCACACTTGGTTGCACTCATGTTGGGTGGTTTCCACCTATCGTTTAACAATGTTAATTATGAGATGCACGGCCCTACGTGTTATCAGTGTCTATGATATGATGTAATATTGAAGCCCTACAAAAATTGCCCTTCAAATTAATCATGAAGTGCCTCAAAAAAAGGGAAAATCTTTGAGTGACCGGTTTTACCATACTCATTTCCCCCAATAGACTATAGTGTTAATCCAATTATAAATATCATGATAATCAGACAGGCGATCGGCTTGTAAAGGTCATGGGGTTCCTGACTGACCTAACAGTTTATAATTTCATTGTAGTGTGAGCTAAATCCAGGATTTTGTTTCAGAATCTGAGGCAAACTGAGTTAATCAATCCCTTTAATAAGATAGAAATCTGACCATTCTTGACCTCATTGAAGTGACCTCTGTGACCATCTGCACATGTGTAACATTGTTACAGTGAAGGTTGGGTTCTGGTAAATGTGAAAATTAATTTGTTAATGCATTCATTCAGCTTCATGTCAGTTCAGAAGAACATCAAGAAAAGTCCACAGAATATGTCCCATATGGTATCAAGTATTATCAAATTTTATTAAATATTTTCCAAAGTGAACATAAATTGCCAAAAAGATATCACTTTCTTTGATGTTTTGTCTGATTCACACTCTTGTAGGGCTATATATTAGTCATCAGATATACTAAAATCTTAGAAATGTCCCTGGAAAAGGGTTGCTCTTCAAATGCCCTCGTATTCAAAGTATGATGAGAGACAGCTGAAAAGTTTGGACTAAACATTCATGCCACATGTGTGTGTGTGTGTGTGTGTGTGAAGTACAGTGCTAGTGATTTTCAACAAGATGGAGTCTTTTAATTCCTCATTTTGACGATTCCAAAGCATTATAATAATAAAATACACCAATTCTTATACACTACATCGTCAATCTTTCATCATTGCTTCCTGGTAATTTTGTCCAGGATAACATTCCATACCCGTAATTCAACTGCATCTTTAAATAAATAGCTCCCAGAAAATTCACTACATAAGATACATGGTGCTCTTATCTTGGTTGAGTGAACGGTAAGCTGACGTCTTTCTTCATGGAAACCACAAACAAGTTGATGATGACAAAACAACGTTTGCCAGTTTTTTGTCAATAAATGAAAATGAAATCTTAAAGATTAAGAATACATTTACAGATATTTGATTTTTCTAACCAAAGCTACTTTCTTTTTCTTATATTGTATACATATTTTCTTTCCTGCATGTCTATTAAACATGTACATGTATGTATCAGCTTAAAGTCTCATTAATATATGATGCAGTAAAACATGACATGCCCTATCTGAAAAGCTATAAGTAGTAACAAAATCCCTTATTGGTAAATGGTATGTTACAAATATAAGTGCATATACTTGACAAAACCTGAATGATACAATAGGATGACTTCACATCTAATAAAGATCATACATCATCTGTTTGGAGCCAAAAGGCTGTTAAGTCCTATAGTTTAACTCATAGTTACTACTATTTTAATTTACTTATATTTTTCATACATATGTCTTACATATATTTGTGTGATGTTTTGTACTTATTTGAGCTGTTATGTTAAAGGTACCATGTCACATTTGCAGGACAAAAAATGAAAAGGTTAAATTCCGACGGCATTTGATAGATAATACTTATTTAAAACTTCCCTTAAAACAGAAGGGATTGAAAATGGCTTTTTGTGGGAAAATAACGACCATTAATTGTCTAATCGACAAATGTGATTGCAATCACCTAAGTAAGAGTCTTATTTTCAGACCCTTGGACCAACTGGTAGATTTTTTTGTGCTGCCCAAAGATTGAATGAGTTCAATTTTGGCAATTACAAGTAGTGGGTTATTGATCTAGACAAATGCTCATGTACCTGTTACATCTCATTTTATGTATTTTATCAGCAAAGAAAAAAACATATCAGTTAGTCACTCAATAATGCCTGACAGGAAAGTCTAGAACTAAACAGGTTTCCTAGCATAATCGAAGTACTAGGACACTGCTAACGTTTAAATTGCACAGATAGGACATACATGGCATATTCATAATTCCTGCACAGTTCTACATAATTTGATGTTGGCTGCAAAAAGGACATAGTATCTTTAATATATGTGTATCTGACATTTTGTATTTTTACCAAAACAGCCAGAGAATTATTTGTAATGCCGATTGTACCTACATTTTTGTGCATGACCAATACATTTCAATTGAATGAATTAATTGATTGAGAGTTAAGACCCTTCTGGCTTTGAAGATGATATCTCCCCTTATCTCTCTAAACAAAACACAAGAGGAAAGGAAGAACATATAATATTTACATTTTGACAAAACTGCATCGGAATCCTACCTACCCTGCGATTAAACCAGAGTATATGCACTGATTTCAGGTATGGTGTATTATCACAGTTGTTTCAATATTTGTAAGACATTCTACCATTCACACATGAATGGTATCATTTCATACCATTCACGTGTTCATGATTATATCCAAAAATAGGGATACAAACAAGAAAAACATAAACAGAATTCAAAAGGCAGCTTATTATACAGATAAAATAACACTTTTGAATTCATATCAATACCACATTGTAGCATTTAGTACAAGTAACCTTATGATGGTGATACAAATATAATCAGCTACATGTCCATGTTTATACCAGCACTATGCGGTGAGTGGAAGAAAAAATACATCAGAATCTAAAAGTGCAACACAAAGAAAAACAAGGAGAGAATATAGCTGGTATTTGCACCTATAAACCACAAACTATTCTTGATTGGCAGTCACACAACTATGGTTATTTTGAGGAGACGATTAAGGTTCTAAAATAATCTTACTTACGTTTGAAACTTTACACACGGATTTAATCACCAAGCAATGTCAAATTGTATTCGCTCAATTGTATGGCTTCCTTAAACTTTAGTTTCTTTTTCATCGTTGATTGGCTTTCCATCACTCTTGTCAAATTCCTGATGCTAAACATTAAAAGTACATTTTAAAAGCACCCTTTTTCTTATTTTGATACAATGACAGAACTGTACATTAAATACCCCCCACCCCGTCAAAGTTTAAAAAAATAAATGTATGCTTGTTGTAGTTATACCAGGAAGACGAGGTACTGAACACATGAATAGTGGAAGCAGTTGGTATATGACCCATCATCATTTGAGAGTCGGAGGGATGCTAAATTTTTATTAAATGATGTATTAAAGATAACACCCTTCTGATTCTTCTACTATTTACATGGGAAATTTATTTCTTCATACATTTCTAATACATGCAATTGATGATTACAAAAATATACATGTGCAATATTTATCATCATCAAAATATGATAGATTTATATGTACATATATATTGCACCTTTTATTTAATGAGTAATTTTGAGCCTCATATCTAATCGTACAAAATTACAGATGTAGGCTTACATTTCATGTATAAGCGAAATTGTACGTCTCTACATAGAAGTAATTTGTGGACATTTGGACAATGCACTGCCTCAAATGTATCTAACCACTATATGTTGAGGATTAGTAGATCAACAAAAATAGTCAAAACAAAACTTGCTTTGTTCTAAGTCTGTATAAAATATGTAACCCTGACTCCTCCCTGATTCAGATAACATTACAAACACTGGAGGCCAAAGGTCATAGGTCAAAGGTCAATGTCAGAGGTGAAGTGTAATGGAAAAAGTTTCCTGAGTATACTAGCCTCCTGTGCCATCTCCTCCTCTCCTCTCCATTCCTGCCGACTACTGCTATCAAAGTTGACATGGTCGTGATTCTCTACCTGTTCAAAAACAAAAGGGGATTTTTACAAATTACAATACTTTTGAGAACAAAAAACTAAATGACATAGAAAAGAAACACCATCATGTGCATTGTACATATGAATGATAAACATTTGGACACAGCATTCACATGAATGTAGGCTAAATCTTAGTACATGCTGTACTGTTTACATCTGCATGTCCCCATATAAGTGAAAATATACATGGCCCAAACAAAAACCCCAAAATACATGTAAGACAGTAAGAGGGAAACAAAGCGAAAGGAAAAAAAAGGGCAACGACATGTTGACAAATGTAGAGACAAACCGAGTGTATTAATTTAATAGCTCTCCCCATGTCTAGCAAACACAATTGATCCGTGTTGAATATTGAGTTCACAATTGTTCATCTCGCCAGCAATAAAGGAAATGGTTTATCGGTGGGAGGGATAGAGAGAGAGAGAGAGAGAGGAGGGAAGGAGAGAGAGAAGGAGAGGAAGAAAGGGGAGAGAGAGAAAGAGAGGGGGAGAGGGGAGAGAGAGAAAGAGAGGGGGAGAAGAGAGAGAGAGGGAGGGAAATGGGAGAGAGAGATGAGAGAGTAAGAGAGGGGGAAGGAGAGAGAGAAGGAGAGAAGAAAGGGGAAAGAGAGAAAGAGAGGGGAGAAGAGAGAGGGAGGGAAATGAGAGAGAGAGAGAGACAGAGGAGAGAGAGAGAGAGAGAGAGACAGAGGGTGGAGAGAGTAAGAGAGGGTGGAGAGAGAGAGAGAGAGAGAGAGAGAGAGGGTGGAGATAGTAAGAGAGGGTATGCTATATCAAGCTATCTTGGGCTCTGAACTCTTGATGGCAGTGCCTCCTCCTCCTCCTCTTCTCCTTCTTCTTCTCTTTCTTCCCCTCCTCCTTTCCCGATCTTAGTTTCTCTTTATTTCATTTTTATTTCATGAACCTTATCCTATCCAATTATCTTCTTCCTTTTTTTCTCCTTCTTTTTCTCCTTTTTCTTCTTCTTCTCCTTTCACAATTTTAACTTTTTATTAAAGTAATTCTGATTTTCCTGAACCTTATCCAATTTTATGTTGCTAAAAATGTAATAAAAAGAGGCTATTTGCAGGGTGAAGATTATTTTTACACATGGAAGCATGCATTTACTAGTTTAGTATAGAAACAGCCGGTACAACAAATCAATACAAACATTTCATGAAACCTGAATTCCACAGCTTTAATTTTTATCCCAAATGATAAAAGTAACTATAAAATAACATTAAAATAATAATTGAAGAATCAATCAAATTAAAAAATTATAAATGTTATTTCTTGCTAGCTTCACATCCAACCTAAGCACACCAAACATGCACACACACAAACACTTGAATTGATAAATAGTCATTACTAAGTTTATACAAAACAGGATTTAAAAAACACTACAAGCAAAACCTCCCTTGTAATCACATAATTAATTCTTGGAAATAGATCCAAGAAAATGGCTACCTACATGTCATCATTATTATCATGTGAATCTACACTAGATAATTTCATTTATAATTGTATGAATAAAAAAAATCATGACATAATCTGGGGAGGACAATCACAGATATGAATTTCAACGAAAGAATACACAGATTCCAAGTAACAATTATCATCCTTGATATATATTTGGGTACCTATCTATGTCTGTTCAACTATATATAAACAGATAATCAGCCTATTGAGAGATAGAAGGGCATAATAAACCCATCATTAATCTATTAAGGATTTTCTCTTTAGTGTTGATGTAATACATTAAAATAAAATTACTCAAAGGTAACATAACTGAGCAATCATTCACATAAATTGGATTGAATGTGATTTTGCACTGATCACTAATTGCTTCCCAAATTTTCTCATTCCAAGTGCTCTGAATAATTATGATACATGCTAACAGGTTAGTTCCAGACAGTTTAGTATTGTTATACAATGCACTGTTGATGAGTAGGATTATATAGCTTATTCATGAATTGTTAATCAATAAGTTGTCTCAGTATGAATGAAGCAAAGTAAACTAGAGGTCAAATCATGACCATATAGCATTAAACCAACAAGGATGAATTTTTTTTTAAATTATGAATTATTAATGTGCAAGACACGGCTACAGCCCTAGAGACTGTGAGCCGAAGAGACCGATGGCCTATGAGACCGACATGTTAGTCTGAGACCGGCATGTTAGTCTCATGGACCTCATGACAACTTTTCTGAGGGTTCATCAAACTGATACTTTCAGCACTGTTGCCTGTCCATCCCATTGGGCAGTGGGTCTACTGGGATGTCAGGAAAATGGGTAATGATTCTCCTTTCAAAGTTTCAACAAAAATTATTCCTATGATGTAGGAATTAAAGGTTTTCCATAAGGAGGCTTTTTCAGTATGACCATCATTGCATTAAAGGGATCAGGTAACTTTGTCTCAGTTTCTGAAACAAAATCCTGGATTTAGCTCATGCTGCAATGATAATTATAAACCTTTAGGTCAGTCAGGAATCCCATGACTTATACAAGCCGATCGCTTGTCTGATTATCAAGATATTTATGATTGAAAATCTAAATTTCATTTTGCGTTTTCCTAACGTTTTAGATAACACTACAGTCTATTGGGGGAAATGAGTATGGTAAAACCGGTCACTCAAAGTTTTTTTTACTTTTTTGAGACACTCATGATCATTTGAAGCTCAATTTTTTTTGAGGGCTTCATTATTACACCATATCACAGACACTGATAACAGGGCTCAAATTAATTTTTTGTCCACGGGGGCTCTTCCCCCCCCCCCAAAAAAAAAAGAGCCCCCGTGAGCCTTCTCACGGGGGCTCTTTTAGTACTACGGGGGCTCTTTTTTATACAAATATCCATTGAATATGATACTCCTCAATTATTTGCTTTTTCATCATTATCATTTCAATCAGCATTTTCCCTCTTACAAATTTACAAGCTACATAGCTGTTACTGGCCTGTGTATATAATACGCATACAACACTGATCTTTGTGATGTCTTTAACGTGACATATCTTCTTCTCCCCTTGCAAACGAGAAAGAAAACAAGGTCATTAAAAGGGATTAAGCGACAAATAATGATTGTGATTAAAATTGAATATTTGCTTGAATAAGCACTGCTATTCACCCAAATCTTCTTTCTAAAAACAACTTTTACAAATCTCAGCCATGCTTACTGAGTTGAGACGTTCCATTCAATGTAAAATACTCATTAAAGAATACACTTCTCCTAATCTGACAGTGATTCTGGTGAAAAGCATTGCTTATTCAAAAAAATCCTTGCACAATTTGAATCACAATGATTATTTGTCGCATGGTCCTTTTATTAAATAACCTTGTTTTCTTTTTTGTTTGCAGGAGGAGAAGAAGCTATGTCACGTTAAGAAATCATAAAGATCAGTTGTATTATGCGTATATATTATGATACCAGAACAAATGTTGATTATCAGAATGTCATTTTGGAATACCTCTATACAAATACCACATTGTCTTTAGCCCGTATCAGTATTAGTATGATCCAATATAAAGCCATTATTTTAGGGTTGAGACGCTAAGAAATGGTTTCAAATGTACATTACACAAACCCTGAACCATTGCAAAATGATGGTGGTTCTCTCTCTCTCTCTCTTTATTTTAATCATGCATTATCAACTACATATAAAGCAGCAACCAAAAACTTAGGGTTATCTGAGATAGGTGAAAGTAAGAGTTAAAAAGAAAGTCATGCTAAAACGGCGCTTCACTTCCCCCCCCTGAAAAAATAAAATAGATTAGTAGTCCTCCTCTCCAGCATCCCCCCCCCCCCCCCCGCTTTAATATCACATTTTCACTTGGCAGCCCAAGGGGGCTGGGGGGGGGGGGTTAAACCCCCTAACCCCCCCCCCCTAACCCCCCCCCCCCCCCCCCGTAGATCTGCCCATGTTACCATATCATTCCACAACATCTAGGTCTTCCTCTTCTTCTCAATAGGGACTTTTAGATTTGCGTGGACGTGGACGTGTTACGTCCTTTTAAGGCACTGGCAGTCACATGTGACGTCCTCTTAAGCACTGGCACTGCCTTAAAAGGAGGTCACACGTTGCAGTCCACATTCTCAACGTGCAAATCTAAAAGTCCCTAATATTGATTTACTGGTCGAAGTTCATTATTTGCTGGTCATTTGAAATCACCAGGTCCCGTATTTAATTCAATACTTACGTACAAAATTTAAGCTTTTTACTTAGTATTTGGCCTAGAAAAAATACTTAGCCAATTTTGGTATTCAATTCACACTTTTGGCTAAGTATTTAACCCTAAATCTAAGCCAACTCCATACCAGACTTAAGTCAATTATTTGGAGGCCTTGATTGGCAGGCATATGGTTTTCTTACGCAGTATTATAACCTGCGCACAATTATATCAGCGCGCATTTATTGCAATGCATCAATTGCGCATTAATTTTGATTGACCGTGTAACGTCACAATGCTTATATCAGTAAGTATTTTACTTAGATTTTGTCTTACGTAAGTACAAGTCTAAAATGCGATTTGAATACGAGATAAGTAAATTACTTAACTTGGCCATTTACTTAGTAAATTTCTTACTTATGCTAAGTATTGAATTGAATACCGGCCCAGATTTTAGCGGGTTAACGCTTTCACAACGAAAAACTTCTCCATGACCATGTTTCTGCCCTTGCGCGATCGCCTCCAGCTCCAGCAGACATGGCGTGGCAAAGTGCACACGTACCGCTACTAACGGCGCAGTAGGCCTATAACCACTGCTGACGGCGACACGGCACTGCGAGCTGAATCGGTAGGCCTACTCATAAAACGAGAAATCTTGCACGCTAATCTAAGTTCCATTTCATTGGTTTAAGGTTTGAAAATTGAAACTCAATATTGTGTTAAAGTTATAACAGAAAAGATAATCTTTATTTTATAATTCCACGGGGGCGATTTTTAATTTTGCAATCGCCCCCGTGAGCAACCTGACGGGGGCGATTATTACTTAGCGATTATGTAG